GTGACTTCTGTTGTGGACACTTGAAAAGGCCCAATCTTAACTATTTAGATTACTTAAAAGTCATTATCAGCCAGGCGGTGGTGGCGCACGCCTTTAATCCCAGACAGATCTCTGTGAGTTCGAGGCCAGCCTGGCCTACAAGAGCTAGTTCCAGGACAGGGACAGGGCTATGACACAGAGAAACCCCGGCTCGAAAAACCAAAAGAAAAAAAAAAGGCAATATATCAATCTCTGCTTGTATTCTCAGACCTCACTATTTACTCCTGCCACATGAACTTTTTCTTGAACAAATGGGGTCTGAAAAAAAAATGACTCAGAGGCTAAGAGCACATGGTGGTCCTGCCAGGACATGAGTAAGGTTACCAACGCGTACATCAAAACCACCTGTAACTTCAGCTCTGAGGGATCTGAAGCCCTCTTCTGGACCTTGTGAGCACCCACATTGACTTGCACATGTTCCCAAGTCGGCGCGCGCGCGCGCACACACACACACACCGTTTTAAAAAATAAATCTTAAAAAATAAATGCCTATTCACTTCAAATAGGGCACCAAAGACAAACTAAAGAGATGACTCCACCCAAGGATAGCTTGGTGAACTGGACTTTAATTGGCTTACTTACAGAAGCATGATAAAATTATAGTGGCTGTGCCCCTCTCCCCAATAAACTGTCTCCTTCATCCCAACAACTGTTAACAGTTTATATATCCTCAGGGAATGGAGGGAGCCTGTGAACTCCTCCCCAGGCAACCTGTGTTTCTGTAGGGTGTGAGTGGGACCTCATGAGCATCCTCCATGACAGTGTTAATGGGCTCAATATTGTATGGATATCAGGCAGGTAACCACAAACACTAAATTCAGGAAGGGGACAGTTTTACCACTACATTCCACATGTCCTCTCTAAGAAACCAGGCACTGGGAGGAGAAGAGGAAGGGAAAACTGTGGTAGGTATGTAAATTAATGAAAAAAGTTGAATAAAAAGTTTGAAAGAAACCAGGCACAAAACTCCTTTCATTCTTCAGGGCTCCATTCCATGCAGGATCTGCTTTGATGCCGAGCTATACTTTCTGTGGCTAGTCCATTATCTGCCTCCAATCCCCCTTCACTTAGTAACTCAGTCTCAATAATAAAAGTCATCTGTGTCTGCAAGCACTTAGTAAACACATTGTGGGGGCAAACCTTAAAGTGTGACACCTTTGATGTGCCAGGCTGTGAGCCATAGCTGTTGATGTTTACAAGACATTCTCATGAATAACAACACAACGTTCCATTGGTTGGTCAATAAGGAAGAAAGGGGAAAGGGAGCATTCTAGGTGGGCAGTCCTTGGTGCCCAGGGGTGGGTAATGGGGGAGAGCATCCCCTCCTAACGCTTTGTTGGACTGGGTTGCTTGGGAAGAATCTGTGCTTGCTTGGCTGAAAACCCAGGAAGGAGCTGTCTGTGGTAACTAAACACCTGACTCTGGAGAGTTTGGTAAATTACTTTGGCCAACAAGGATTATCAGCTTAGGATTTTAAAAGATAACAACTCAGTCACATTTAGTTTTCAAACATTCACTCCCAAGAGGTAGAGGGCTGGGATGACAGCTCCATGGTTAAGTGCCCTTGAAGCTCTTCCCGAGGACTAGGGTTCGATTCCCAGCAATCACACGGTTCACACACATCTGTAACTCCTGATCCAGGGGACTGCCCTCTTCATGGACATTGCATGCATGTGGTGCACAGGCATGGTGCAAAACACTCAAGCATTTATTTAAAAGTGAAATAATCAAGAGGCGGCTGGTGGGAGGAAAGAAACCACAAGAAGAAGAGACTCCCTAAACTGGAGCACAGGATAAAGGCGTGCTTACTATGAGTTCTAACCACCAGGTTTAGAAGACAGAGCACAGTGGAGTATGAAAATTAATGAGTGGTCATCCAGGCTCACCATATAAAGAACAACCTGCCAGTAGCACAATCATGACCTCAACTCTTCCAGGACTTATACTTAAGACTGGGAACTCACACTGGGAGGTGGTGGTAAAAGCCTTTAATCCCAGGACTCAGGAGGCAGAGGCAGATTTCTGAGTTCCAGGGCAGCCAAGGCCACACAGAGAAACCCTGTCTCAAAAAACAAAACAAAATAGAAAATATACATAATGGAAAGGCTAATTTGTTAAGATTGATGTGTCCCACTCTGTGCACACCTTTGATCCCAGTACTAAGGAGGCAGAGGCAGGCAGATCTCTGAGTCTGAGGCCAGCCTGGTCTACAAAGAGAGTTCTAGGACAGCCAGGGCTACATAGAAAAACCCTGACTTGAAAAACAATTTACAACAACAAAAAAGAGAAAAAATCATGTTTCCCTCCTTTCTTTCTCCCTGCATCAAACTTCCCCTTCTGTCAGTTAGCAATGGATACCACAGACATTTTGAGATTGGCTGAGCTGGGGATACACCTAATTTGGGCTTAGTAGGGGTATTTGTGTGGTTTACAGTTATGTCTACCAATAAATTATTATCCCATTGCAGGCATAGTTTCTGGACTGAACTGTCCTCCTATTCATGTTAAAGCAATGAAGTAGTGCTGGGCAAGGGGTGGCACACCCCTTTAATCCCAGCACTGGGGAGGCACAGGCAGGTGGATCTCTGTGAGTTTGAGGCCAGCCTGGTCTACAGAGTGAGTTCCAGGACAGGCTCCAAAGCTACAGAGAAACCCTGTCTAGAAAAACCAAACAAAACAAAAAGCAGTGAAGCGCAATAATAGCTCTCATTTGTATGTTTGTTTGGTTTGTTGTTGTTATGATTGTTCGTCAATTTAAGAGACAAGCCACGCCCACTCCCTGCAGCCTCTCCCCTCTTCCCATCTTGATTCTGTTCCTTTTGACCCCGCCCCCTCTTCTGCTCCCCCCCCTTTTCCTTCTTCCCTCCCTCCCTCTTTCTCTCTCTCTCCCTCCCCTCTTCTCCCCTTCTCTCTTCCCCCTCCATAACCCCCTGAAAACTCTGCATGTCGTGTTTATCCATGTCTCTGTCTCTTGCCCGCCTTGTGTCTCTGTGCCTGGGACCAGCCACGCTCGGGACCGTCTCTGCCTGGAACTGGCTGCTCCCAGGGCCCACTGCCTGCCACCACATGGCCCGCTACCACCATTTGGGGACCTACAGCATTTCTGCTGCCTACTGCCGCCGGGGATCTTGCAGCATTTTTTAAAAAAATCATAACAGTTGTTGTTGTTTGTTCCTGAGACAGGGTTTCTCTGGCTGTCTGGAATTCTCTCTGTAGACTAGGCTGGCCTAGAACTCAGAGACTGTCCCACCTCTACCTCCCCAGTGCTGGGATTAAAGGCATGCACCATCACACCCTGCTCAATTTGGAGCTCCTTAAAGAGGTAATTAATGCCATTAAACTCTAACACAATAGCCTGGCATGTTGTCCTAACACCGAAATTCAGGCATGGGTGTGAACGTGGAGAATCACAGGAAGGTGTAGCAGGACCAGGCATGGTGACATAACTGTAAACCCAGCACTCTAAGAGGTAGAGGCAGAATGATCATCACACATTCAAGGCCAAGTTCCAGGTCTACACAGTGAGACTCTGCTTGGGAGTGAAGGAGACCAAGGGAAGACCTCAGAATAAAATCAACATCTTCATCTCGGGTTTCTGGTCTAAGCTCAGTAGGACAGTGCTTGCCTGGCAATAGCAAGGCTTGAGGTGGGAACCCCAGCACCAAAACCACAACACCCACAAAAAAGATGAACAGAAAACATGAAAAAGTGTGAGTTTGTGCCATTTTGTTATGGTGGCCTTACATCATATATTAAAGAAATGGGATGGCGGCTTTTCCAAATTTGGCAAAAATATTGGTTTTTGAGACAGGTTCTTGACACTAGCCAAGGCTCACATGCCAGGTTAGCATTGAACTCCTGGCAGTCCTCCTCCCTCGGCCTCCTCAAGTGTTAGAATTACAGATGTGAGTCGTTACGCTTGTCCTAAAATTTCCTTATACACAAACAAAGGTGTAAAGATAATTTTTGTAATTAGCATAACCTAAAAGTTAACATTATGCTAGAAAACTGAAATCCCTTTGTTTGTTTTGGGATGTTTTTGTTTTGTTTTTGTTTAAGACAGGGTTTCTCTGTGTATTCCTGGCTGTCCTGGCACTCAACTCTGTAGACCAGGCTGGCCTCGAACTCACAGAGATCCATCTGCCTCTGCTGTCCAAGTGCTGGTATTAAAGGTGAGCACCACCACTGCCCATCCTCTTAATCCTTATAGTAAATATTCTTTTTTTGTTGTTGTTGTTTGTTTAGTTTTTTGTTTTTGAGACAGGGTTTCTCTGTAGCTTTGGAGCCTGTCCTGGAACTAGCTCTTGTAGACCAGGCTGGCCTCGAACTCTCAAAGATCCACCTGCCTCTACCTGAGATTAAAGACATGCACCACCACCGCAGAACAATGGTGCATATCTTTAATCCTATTGCTCATGGGGAGAGGTAGGTGGATCTCTGTAAGTTTGAGGCCAGCCTGTTCGACATAGTGAGGTCCAGGACAGCCAGAGCGACATAGTGAGACTTGTGTCAAACAAACAACAACTTGAAAAGTTCTCAAAGATCATGTAACCAAACACATCGCAGAAAAACAAATTGTCAGATAGCCCATTCTCATCAGCTTTTTAAAAACCGTGACTTATTTCCATCTTTTCCCATTCCATAAACGCCCACTTTGTGCCAGCTTTGCATTTTTCTTCTTAAAAGTTGTATACTTCAGGGACACAGAAATCTGACTCTGCCCTGTAATCAAATGACTACGCTCAATTTCTTTCCAGCTTTTTGCATCTCCTAAGAAATGCCAACGTGGAAGGGAGCTGGAAGGCCGAGTAGTCAGAGCTGCAAGTGTTGGGAATTTGGGGTGGATCTGAAATAGTGAAAGCTATGAAAGAAAGAGTTCAGATAAACCCACCACCAAACAGAGATATCCAAATACGGAAAGGGGGCCGGGACCACAGAGCACCTGCACAGCCTCCACCTACCTCTCCCTGGAGGTCTGGCCCTCATGTTGACTCTTCATATCTGGCATCACTTTCAATACACACCAAGGGTGCTTTTCGATGACATCACAACTTGACTATTATGATGTAATGAGGAAGCACGTTCCAACTAGGGCTTCCCTAGTAGGTCTATTGCCCCGTACTGTGGCTAATTCTATGATACCATTCAGATGTGTGGGAACCACGTTTGTTAAAACCTGGCCCTTCTCAAAGACTTCTTCCCTTTCTAGTTGAGTTCTGTCCATCCGTTCTGGATTAGAAGTCCTCGCTGTTCTCCATTATATTGTCCTTCCTTTGCTTTAGGGGAGCCTTTGATAAGCACTGTCCCACTGCCTGTGGATTACAACGTAACTCAGGGAGCCCACAAACAAAGAACCCTCACCTAAGAGGAAATAGTTTTTCCCACGCTGTTCCTTGAACCAGCAGCTAGTGCTGGATGCCAGAGCCTAGTGCTCCGAACTTTCCCATTATCCCATCCTGATTTCCTTCAGTGATGAACAGTGATGCGGAAGTGTAAGCCAAATAAACCCTTTCCTCCCCAACTTGATTTTTGGTCACAGCGTTTCATTGCAGCAATAGAAACGCTAAGACAGGTACTTATGGCAAAACCATGGCAAAACCTAAAGATCTGAGTTCTATCCCTGGCACCCGCACGGTGAAAGAAAAAAAAAATGATTCCAAAATTATCCTCTGACATCCACGAGTGCCCTCCCAATAAATAAATAGATAAATAAATAATATTAAATAATAGCTAGATATGGTGGCTCAAACCTGTCGTCCCAGATGAGGTGGGGATTCAGGGTCAGTCTGGGTTACACAGGACCTGGCCAGCCAGAGCTACATAACAACACTCTCTCGAAAAACTAAAAGGAAACAAGAAATGAAGTGGGAAGGGGATCTCGCTCTCAGTTCTCGCCACCACTCACCTAAAGAATAGTTCTAAAGAACTTTCTCCCTCGCATATCTATTTCAAATATGGTTTTCCACCAGAAGAGGGCAGCTGCATGAAGAAGCTGAAGTGAGGCTTCCAGTTGGCACAATGCACAGGGCTGCACCCCGGGGCCGAGGGAACTGGCGGAGGTGCACAGAGCAAACTCATTTTCTCTTCACATTAGCTACCCAGCGCTGTAATGCCCAGGCTGTGTGTTTACAAAGGTCAGGGCTCTTAACATCATCACCCAAAGAAGCTCAAAGCTGACAACAGACACCTACCAGTTCCTGAAGAAGGCGGGGACTAGTGGGAATAGGGAGGGAGTGGTACAAGAAGTAATCTCTTGTTTTTGGGACAGGGTCTCTCTGTGTAGCCCTGGCTGTCCAGAAACTTGCAGACAAGGCTGGTCTCAAAACTCAAGAAAGATACACCAGTTTCTACCTCCCCAGTACTGGGAACAAAAGCATGTGACACCACCATCTAGCTTTTTTTTTTTTTTTTTTTCCTCTCAAGATAGGGTTTCTTTGTGTAACAGCCCTGGCTCTGTAGACCAGACTGGCCTCGAACTCACAGAGAACTGCCTCCTGAATGTTGGGATTAAAGGCATGTGCCACCAAGCCCAGCTAAGGAATCTTTTATATTAACTTTACCCTTTAATTATGGTGGGTAATGAGGTATGGTGGTCTCAGGAGGCCCAAATGTTAAGTACCATCTTTGAAGTACACTGACAGATTAGGACAGCTGCGGGCCACTTCTGTGTTCTCTGGGAGAAGGAACCTGGACCACCGGAGGATCTCTAGAGACAAGCCTTTTGCATTTCTGATTGTGTGTGACTGGCAAGCATCCAGAGGGGCTCCCAATAAATACAAGTTAGAAACAAAAACGTAGAAGTTAAGTTGGAGGTTGAAGAGTGAGGGCTTATTATGAACGAAAGGGGAAACAGTGTTAAAAAAGCAGCCTGGCACAGTAGCACAGCACTCCTAGCCCTCAGGAGGATAAGCAGGAACATTACACATCTTAGCTAGGCTGTGCTAAGCAGCAGGACCGTGTTTCAAGTGGAAATATCAAAAAGAAGAAGGAGGCAGTGAAACAAGGACCAGGAGGAGGAGCTGAGAGCTGCTAGCTGCAAAGGGCCAAGGGGTACACAGCAGGGACAGTTAGGGTTCAGCAGGCCGGCCCACCAGATGAGGGACTCCTTGAAGGCTGTAGGGTAGAAAGCAGGTGACAGGTAGTGACTCCCTGATGGGGAGCCCCAGCTGATAAGGCTGTGGGGTCACTGGTTGTCTTCTGTAATTTTTCTCATGAGCCACTTTATTTCTTCTTCCCTAAGAACTGTTATGGGTGTTTTCCCACTGCTTGCATGTTTATCACATGTATACATTTCATCTATTGGACACACAGACAGCTGTGGATGGCCAGGAAGATGATTTCTGCTTAATGGTATAATTTTGAATAATAGAAATAATACCAGGATATTCTACTCAGACATAGGATTCTCAGTCATAAAGACAGCCTTTTACACGGACAGCTAATTTTAGACTCCACAAATTCAAAGTAGGCTGGTTGCCCCTGGAGACGAATATCTGGTTGCCCCTAGAGACAAATACGAGGTCATTTTTCCAGGTGTTTTGCTGATTCAAAGTCAGAGCTTGAAGCAACTTTAGTAGATAAATGGACTTTCTGCATGCACCCCTTACCACTCAGGCGCCAGCTAATTGCTATTGTTAAGTCTTGAATTCCAATGTCATTTTCTGTCTGGGAAAGAGCTAAGTGCATGACCAAGGTTTACTCACTGGCCAGCCAATGTGACCTCTCTAGCCTGAGAGAAAGTGTATGACTTACCTTATGTTATGAAAATGGGTCAGGCCCTGAATACGTAGCATATAACTACCCAGAGTTTGGCTGTGGGAGACAGAGTGGAGGAAGGCTATAAACAACAGAGAGATGAGAAAGGATAGAGAGCTAACTAGGAAGCTGTGAAGACAGTTTTTTTTCAGAGAAAAATTTTCAAGACGAAGAGAAAGTTACCATCAGAAAGTATCTGTGTTTTCTTATTTTTCCCCTCATATAGAAAAAGTCTAGCCCTCAGATAGATTAAGAATTTTTTCCTGCTGGGCAGTGGCAGCACACACCTTTAGTCCCAGCACTCAGGAGGCAGAGGCAGGTGAATCTCTGTGAGTTCGAGGCCAGCCTGGTCCCTGGAGCAGATCTGGGAGCTGGCCATTCAGCGTGTGGTAAGGAGAGCTAGCAGAGAGGTAGGTGTAGGGTGCTTTCTGAAGTCTGGAGGAAGGGAAAGGGGGCTTCTGCTGGGATTCATCAAGGACAGTAGTGTTTTCTCATGTCACCTTCCAGTGCATAGGGACCACAGAGGAAGTCTCTACTATGGTGCAGGATTCCTAAAATTAACCTGAGCAAGCAAATGGTGAGAGTCGATGGCTGTGGCTCTCCCTGGGCATAGGCTTCTTTGCTTACTGGCACTGCAAGAAGTATAGGTGAATCATGGAATGAACAGTGTGAGTAAAGAAAGGGAATCTCCCTTTTTTTAAGACGGGGTTTCTCTGTAGCTTGAAGCCTGGAACTAGCTCTTATAGACCCGGCCTAGGTGGTAGGATTTATGATTCTGTGACACCAGCCCAATACAAGGTAAGGAAAGGCCAGAGATAGGGAGAATCTTGAACTCATGTGCCAGGAAAGCGACATCTGGACAGGAAATGTCTTCTGGGACTCTCAAAGGACTAAGCACACAAATAACACTTAGGACAGTAAGTAACAGCTCCCCTCCCCCACTTCATAAGGCTTGTGGTGTATTGATAGCTTTGCTGGTCCAAATTTCCAAGAATGAGGCACCTATTATTTGTGTGCACAAGGAGGTGCTCAGCCCAGGCCATCCAACCGTGCGGAAGAGAGAAAAGTATCTGCTTACTCTCAAGTGCTGCAGTGGCTCAGTAAAGAACCAGAAGATGCTGGGTGGTGGTGGCGCACGCCGGGAGGCAGAGGCAGGTGGATCCTTGTGAGTTCGAGGCCAGCCTGGTCTACAGAGTCAGTTTCAGGTCAGGCTCCAAAGCTACACAGAAAAACCCTGCCTCAAAACAAACAAACAAAAACCCAAACCAAACCAAACCAACTGGTTACCTAGAAGCTTCCTGTTCTTCCATCTAGCTGAGAATAGGGGCATGACAGAGCTGGCACCTCTTACAAAGAAAACTCAGGAGATTGGGGACCTCCCCCAAACTCACGTTTACCTGGTCATTGGGGGGGGGGGATGGCAGTGCTGGTGTACGCTTTTAATCTCAGCACTCAGGAAGCAGACGCAGGTGAATCTCTGTGAGTTCGAGGCCAGCTGGGTCTACAGAGCTAGTTCCAGGACAAGCTCCAAAGCTACACAGAGAAATCTTGTCTCAGAAAAAAAAAAAAAAAAAAAAAAAAGAATTTACTTGGTCAAGGATAATGGAGGGGTAGGAAGGGAAGGTGGTGGGATAGTATGGAAGGTTGGCCAGAGCCAGGAAGGAACCCCAGTGTATGGAAAGCTGGCATTTAAGTAGGTACCCAAGTTCTCTAGCAGGCAGATGGGCCAGTGCTTGCTGACCCTGCAGACCTGGAATGCTGGCACAGGAAACAGCGGGATAAAAGTCTGGGGCCCTTGGAGGACAGGCAGGCACAGCACAGTGAAGAACGATGGTCATTCCCTAAGATAGATGATCTATAGCAAAGTTTTTAATTTTGTTTTTAGAGAAATAAAAAGACATACCACATAGACTGTGGGAACTTCCTGGGCTCACAATCCTGCACTCTTCAACAAATAACCGAGTCTAGACTGGTTTCTAAAACAGGGATAATAAGCTCAAGTCACAGTCATATTTTAAACATGCATGTAAAACACACTTAGCACACGAAAGTTAAGTGGGAGCTGTTACTATTGTTAACATGACATAACAGTAACACACACACATTACACATTAGGAATGATGTCTTCACAACTGACCCTCAACCCAGTCTCCCTGGGTTCCTTGTTGAAGACTAGAGAGTGCACTGTTTGCTGGTTCCCAGTACAGCGCCTCCCTTGACTTAGCTGAACCTGAAGGTGATTCGCGGGATGCAGCCGACTATTTTTTGTACAAGGCAATACAGTGCTTAAATGTGCATTTGTTAGAGAAATGACCGGAAGGCAAAGGGAACAAGCCCAAAACTGAATTCTGAATGTAGTGTGTGTGTACCTGACAGGAAAGAGGTGGAATGAGGAGCCAGTTACCTGGGAGGTCCTTGTTCAACTGGGAACATTCTTTCCCCTTTAAAGAGCTGTCAAGGAGGCATCTGAGGAAGGTAGCTCAATTATGGCCTTGGAGAAAAGGAGCGACAATACCCATCCCTTCTCAAGGGAAAGGGGATGTCCCATAGGGACCAACAAGCATGAAGGGAGGAAAGAATGGCAAATGTCCCACATGTTCAAAGAAACAAGCGAAGGGGCTGGAGAGATGGCTCAGAGGTTACAAGCACTGGCTGCTCTTCCAGAGGAACAGAGTTCAATTCCCAGCAACCACATGGTGGCTGACAACCATCTATAATGCAGGCATACATGCAGACAGGACACTGTACAATAAATAAATAAATAAATAGAAAAAAGAAACAAGTGAGGGGAGGGAGAAAGACAAGGAAAGGAAAACCAGCAACACCCAACTCTCACCTAAAGCCTCCCTAGGAAGGGCATGAGGTGCGAAAGTGGGTATTACATTAGACTCCAGGTTTTCCATGTCATTGGCTCAGAATATGGATCAAACTGTCACCTTCTGGTGCCATCTAGTTCTTAAACTGCTTCTCACTTTTGCTTTCTATTTCTTATACCCATCAGATGTTCCAACATTGTTTCATTCTGGGGCTTCCGTGCATCACTCTCCCTATCAGCAACGCTCTGCTCCATTTTCTCAGGGGACCCAGGCTAGAACTAGAAGTCTGTGGGGATTAAGAGCAAAAACCAAAGGGCACAGGGTGAGCTATGGCTTGAAAGCTACAGAATGCACTGAGGCTATGGGCTGGTTATGCTTCCTGTGCCCTGGTTCATCCATGCCCCTACAAACGAAGGAAGGAAGGAAGGAAGGAAGGAAGGAAGGAAGGAAGGAAGGAAGGAAGGAAGGAAGGAAG